AAAGATGTGGCAATATGCTTTTGTAAAGATTTACTGCCTTGGAACCTTATGGGGCAGTTCTACTCTGTCCTATGGCATCACCATGAGTCAGAATTGACTTGACAGTGGTGGGTTTTAGGATGGCTATAGGTCCCTGGGTCGTGCAAACTTGAGCTCAACTACTAACCTAAATGTTGGTGGTTCAAACCCACCTAGCAGTGCCAGGGAAGAAAGGCCTGGTGATCTGCATCTGTTAAGGTTACAGTCTCTGTGAGTCAGAATTAACTTAATGGCAATGGGTTTTTGTTTGTTTGTTTGTTTGTTTGGTGGCTATAATTAAAAAAAAATAAGAAAGGAAAACAGCAAGTGTTGGCGAAATGTGGGGAAATTGTAGCCTTCATACACAGCTGTTGGTGATGTGAAATGGTACAACTGCTTCAGAGAACTGCCTGGCAATTTCTTAAAAAGTTAAGACACTTTTGTTATCCATAAGACTGACAATTGAAAAAGATTTCTTGACAATATTAGGGGCTGATAAGGATGCAGAAAACCGGACTTCTCAGATACAGTAGATGGGTATGGGTACATTACATAGTCAGTCAAAAAAAAAAAAGGAAAAAGTATTTATTGAGCACTTACTACATCTCAGGCACTGAGCATGGAGGATGTGAGAGTGGCTGACAGAGGCCACAGAGATATTTAAGTAGAGAACTTGGGGTGAAGTAATTACTTGATATGGCCCGTCTTGCCATAGTCTTTGTAACTCCCACCAAATGACTAGGTGAGGACTATGCAAATGAGGTGCTTGTGGCCCTACCAATGGGATTAGATAGCTTGCCAAGAATGTAAATAAGGTGCATGGCACCCTTGTGGGGGTGGGACCATGCAAATAAGGTGTATGGAACCCTAACGAGGGGATTCGTCAGTTTTGCCATCCTGCTAGGCTTAAAATGAGCCATCCCAGAGGCAGGAAAGAAGGATCTCACCACCACCAAGAAAGAAAAGCCAGGAGTGGAGCATGTCGTTTGGACCCGGCATCCCTGTGCCAAGAAGATCCTGGAACCAGGAGACTGAGAGAGACAGAGCTGTAACAGTGAAGACGGCAAGAAGCAGTGGCAGAGAAGCGGTGGCAGCAGAGGCAGGAGACTGGCAGGAGGTGGCCCATGGAGCAGAAAGCTGAGCCTTCACGCAGGAAGCTTGCTGGCAGAGTGGGGTACCTCCGGGCACTTGGTAGAGCTAGGTTTGCTGACCCCACAGAGCTACAGCTGAGCACCTTTGGGCCGAGGTTTGCTGGCGGAGTGGGGTACCTCTGGGTACTTATCAGCAGAGCTAAAAGAGCTCTGTAACACTTTCCTGAGCAGGATAGAGGCCAGGCCGAGGGGCCGAGGGCCAGAGAGAGACCTGCCTTAGGGCATAGCTGAGAAGAGTCTGTCTGGATGGAAGAACTGTATCCTGAGCATTCCTGATCCTGAACTGTAACCTGTTACTTCCCTAATAAACCCCCTAACTAGGAGTATGGTCTGTGAGTTGTATGTGGCCACTGCAACGAATTATTGAACCCAGAGAGAAGTAGAGAGTGCCGTGGGAGGAACAGCTGGTATCAGAATTGGTAAAAGGGCTCCAGGGTGGAGGCGTGTCTGACCTCTGCCTCATAGGAACCAGCCTTGGGCTGTTGATGCTGATAATGATTCTCCTTCCCCTTGTGAAGTCAGAGGACATCAGACACTGCCCCCACCGTACCATTTTTATAGAACTAAGCAACAAAGAGGTGTCAGCCATGCAAACAACAGGAGAAGGAACCTTCTGCAAGGGAGTAGAGAGGCCCTAAGATTTAGCCTGCTTGATGGAAAGTGTGGGAGGTGGAATAATAGCCCCCAAAGACATCCGAGTCCTCATCCCTGGGACCTGTGGGTATGGTACCTTATATGCAAAGAGAACTCTGCACCAAAAAAAAAACCCCACTGCTGTCGAGTCGATTCTGACTCGTAACGACCCTATACGACAGAGCAGAACTGCTCCATAGGGTTTCCAAGGCTGTCATCTTGACGGAAGCAGACTGCCACATCTTTCTCCCATGGGGCAGCTGGTGGGTTCGATCTGCTGATGTTTAATGCTTAACCACGGTGCCACAAGAGCTCCTTTTGGGAACTCTGCAGATGGGCTTAATTAAGGTTTTGAGATGGAGAGATTATCTTGGATTATCTGGGTGGGCCCAAAGTCAGCACCAGGGTCCTTAAGAAGAGGGAGGCAGGGGGGTCAGAGAAGGAGAGGTGATGATGGGAGAGGCGGGAGGGGGAAAGAGAAAGAGAGACAAGAGGAAGATTAGAACAACTGTTAGGGAAAATAAGAAAAGACCAGGAAATTAGAGGGTTTATACAAGAGGCCCAATAGCCAGATAAAAGGTGTTCCAGAACGAAAGAACAAAGAAAAGAAGAGAGTAGAGGAAACTCTCAAAGAAATAAAGCAACTCCCAAACTCCCAGAACTGAAGAAGTCACCACCCTGACAATGCTCACCAAATGCCCCCAAATAATGAATTTTCAAAGGGGACCACAGCGAGAAATAGAATCATGAACTTTAGAGATAACGCGAAGATCCTAAAAGGACATGGAAAGAAAGAAAGAAAAAAAGCGACATTGTAAACAGAAGCGCAATCCTTGAAAGTCCGTTCATCCGATAAATATTTATGGAGCATCTCCTAGGTGCCAGGCATGATCCTAGGCGTGGGAGAGACAAAGGTGAACAAGAAAGACAAAGTTCTTGTCCCCAAAGTGGTGATGCTCTAGTGAGCACACTGACAATAAATTAAGTAAACCAAATAATAGTAGGCTGGAGGTTCTGAAGAAAAGTCTGGTGATCTACTTCCGAAGAAATTAGCCATTGAAAACCCTGTGGAAGACACTTCGACTCTGACACACAGGGGTCACCATGAGTTGGGGTCAACTCAAGGGCAACTGGATTTTATATTTCTATCTATATGTGTGTGCTGTGCCCTGGCAGGGCAATGGTTAAGCACTCAGTTGCTAACCGAAAGGTTGCTGGTTTGAACCCACCCAGTGGCTCCTTGGGAGAAAGACCTGATGATCTGCTTCCATAAAGGTTATAGCCTAGATGACTCTATGCGCAGTTTTCCTCCATTGCGTGGGGTCGCCGTGAGTCCAAATTGACTTACCAGCACACAACAACAACACATCTATGTATACACACATCCTTTAGGTATAATTCACATCTTAGTCTTAGATTGCTCAGTGTACAACCTACACAGCCATGCATGGGTGCCCTGACTTGGATAAAGATAAAAACTAAAAGAATGTGGCCAACTGTTTCAAATGCTGTTAAGTGGGAGCATAAAAAGAGGACAGAGAAGGAACCCCTAGAACCCCAGAGAAGGGGTGAAATGACACGTCTGTTGCATGAACGAAAGACCACCCACCCACTCAGCCTGGGCTGCCCTGGAGGAGGCAGTGGGGTTCAGGCCTTCCCTCAGCCTTACCCTGAGTGCGTCTGGTTGAGCAAAGTAGGTGATGGCCCCGATCTTAATGGGGATCCACATGTCCAGCATCTGGGCTGCGATGTGGCTGAGGGGGAGATAGCTGACCACTGTCTCCTGCTTCTCTGGGGC